AATTTATTGCTGTGATCAAAGCTGAATTTTCAGCATCATTACTCCAGTCTTCAGTCACATGATCCTCCAGAAATCATTCTAATATTCTGATTTGCTGCTCGAGAAACATTTCTGATTATTATCAGAATTGAAAACAGTTGTGATGCTTCATATTTTTGTGGAAACCGTGAAAATCTTATTTTTCAGGATTCACAGATGAACAGAGTTTTCAAAAGAACAGCGTTTATTTGAAACAGAAATCTTTTGTTGCATTATAAATGTCTTTACTGTCACTTTTCATTATTTAATACGTCCTTGCTGATTAAAAGTATTAATTTCTTTCAAAAAGAAAAATCTTACTGACCCCAAACTTTTGAACTGTAGTGTGTTTTGTAGAAATACAGGCAACCATACACATATGATCATAGAAAGGCTTGATAATAGCGAAAATTGTATGCATTATATGTATCTGCACAACAGTAAGGCCTAATTCACATGGTTATTCACAGACCATCTACAATGCGATGCTGAACCACACGCCGTGTGTGGTGCTGGAGGGCTCTGGACGCCTGGCGGATGTCATCGCTCAGGTGGCGGCTCTGCCCGTGTCAAAGGTCACTCTGGTCCTTATCAACCAGCTCATGAAGAGGTTTTTTGTACAAGAGTACAAAAGCTTTACTGAGGTGCAGGTCATTGAGTGGACCAAGAAGGTAACGGACAAAAACATACATTTAATAAGTTACAGTACACAAAAAGACTCTTTTGATGGATGGTACTTTTTAAAAAATGTCTTCTGCTCACCAAGGCTGCATTTATTTTATTAAAAATACAGTGAAAATTGTGAAAAATTATTACAATTTAAAAGAACTGTTTACTATGTGAAAATATAGTGAAATGTAATTTATTTCTGTGATGCAGCGCTGAATTTTCAGCATCATTACTGCAGTCTTCAGTGTCACATGATCTTCAGAAATCATTCTAATATGCTGATTTCTGGTTATTATCAATGTTGAAAACAGTTGTGCTGCCGAATATTTTTGTGGAAACCGTGATACATTTATTTCAAGAGTCTTTGATGAACATAAAGTTCAAAAGAACAGCATTTATTTGAAATAGAAATCTTTACCAACATTATAAATGACTTTACTGTCACTTTCGATCAAATTAATGCGTCCTTGTTAAATAGAAGTATTAATTTAAGAAAAAAAAATCTAATTTACTGACCCCAAACTTTTGAATGGAAGTGTACATTGTAGTCTGATTCATGAACCAATGAGCCAAATGTTTAATGAATATATATATATACACACACATACACACACACACAAATAAGAGTTCATTTAAACTTTTATTTGCTATCATTAAATATAATCATACATACAGAGGCAAGCGCAACATGCAGGATTCATATTTAAACCGTCTTTTTGCATTTTAATATTCACAGACACTAGTTCATATCACGATTCGAATTAAGTGGCGGTGGCTACTTTTGATTTATTCATCCAAAGTTGGCGAATTCCGTGGCATTCCGCGCTATAGAGTAAATTACGTTTTTATGAATGGACTCCACGATCCTGTCCGCGTTTTCGCAGAAACCATATGGCCCTAGAAATGTAACCACACTTCAGAACATTTCAGCTTGCCCTGTGTGTTGTTTGAAGGAGTTGCAGGGGTGACCTCACGTCACAGGATCTCTCTGTCTCTCTCTGTAGCGTATGCGCCTAGATGCGTTCTCCGGTACTGAAATTTGGCACCGATTGATTTAACGTGAATCGGTACTCGGTAGTACCGACGCAATTCGGTCGGTACCCTTAAAAGTACCGAGTTCGATACCCAACCCTAGCTGAGAGTGCGTTGAATCTTTAGCTGTAATCTATATAGTGACTGAGAGCCTGTCAACACTATTCTTCACATTATTTCAAATAACTTTAAGCTTAATGCTGTGTAGGAAACAGGCCTGGTGGGTTTGGTATTGTGCAGCTCATTCTGGCGTGAGCACATTCATCCTCCCTTGACAGTCTGGAAGCGTCTCTGATAGAGGAAGCCATTAGTGCTGGAGCTATAGTGATGATTGGCACATCTTTAAAATGCTAGAGATTTTTTTGCGTAGCTTTATTGAGCATTGAAGACTATCACACGTTTGCTTATAGACACACTTGACTTGTCTTTGCATTAGATGCTTGTGAGCGATACAGTTCTTCAGTGCAACACAAAACGTTAGACAGAATGTTTTTTTTTATTCCATGCTGTGAAAGTAAATGGTGACCGAGGTTGTCAAGCTCCAAAAATGACTGATTTTAAACGATCCGTCCTATGTGAAATTAGAGGAGACTATTTATAAACTATTTATTTTTGTATGATCTTTTGATTCAAGTAAAGCCTGATATATTGTTTCTTTTAGATGAGTATAATTTAATGAGCCATGGAAATCGCTAGACATTTTTAAAAAATATATTAAATGAAATTAAATGATCGTCCTGCAGCAGTGCTATTTTAGTATTATTTACATACTATTAGAATATTTATTAATATTGTGAATTCGCTTTTTGTTTTTTATTAAGTTTTTTGTTATGTGCTTTTGGCATTTTTATCAAAATATATTTATATATTTTTTTATGTTTCTATTTCTTAAAATATATTTTTAGATATTTAAATTCTTTAATTTGTAGTTTTAGTAATTTTAGTACTTGAACATTTTCAGTCAGTTTTTTTCAGTAATTTTCAGTAAAGTTTAAGCTTGTTTTTAATCTAATATTTATATATTCTTTTATTTTAGCTTTATTTCAGTTAATGGTTTTAATAACAATGATGACACTGTTGAGAATGTTTTATGCATCAATGCAAAACAAGTATTAAAAGTAATTTTTCCCCCCTTTTTTCCTCAGGTAAATGTAATTTTAAGGATGTTTTGTTGTTGTTGTTGTTGTTGTTATTGTTGTTTTCTGGAAAACAAGACAAAAATAATGATATTGAATTAATAATGATAAGAAAATTGGTTATTAATTGGCATGAAAATATGTCACAATGCAAAGAATTCAAGAATTCAAACAAAGATCCGAAAGACCCACTTTCAAATTCAAATTTGAATTTGAATTTGAAAGTAGGTATTTTCTTTGTAAAAAAAAAAAAAAAAAAAAAAGATTTAATATTCCTTATCTCTGGTGTGAAATATGACCTGGACATGTTTTCGACAGGCTTTGCATGAATCATCAATAAATAATGATATATTTCATTTAGTTGCCAAGGCAACATTCCAAATTTTTTAAGTTTAAGTTTTTCATTTAATATTAATATTTTTCTTTTATTTCAGCATTATTTCAATAACCAAAAACTATTTTCAATACTCTTAATTAACAATAGCAATGCTGTCTTGCAGCACAGTTTATAAAACTATAAACCCTCTTATAGAAAACCTTAAAAAAGATCTGTGACTTGACTTCAGACCTAAACTTGACCTTGAAACACTAAACACTTTTTTTTCCATTTCTTGGTCAGGAGAAGCAATAAAAAAAAGACAAACTGGTAAGAACTAGGGATGCTCCGATCTTTTATAAAACTATAAACCCTCTTATAGAAAACCTTAAAAAAGATCTGTGACTTGACTTCAGACCTAAACTTGACCTAGACTTGAGACATTTTTTTTTTTCCATTTCTTGGTCAGGAGAAGCAATAAAAAAAGACAAACTGGTAAGAACTAGGGATGCTCCGATCTGCCTTTTTCGCCTCCGATACCGTTTCCGATACCTAGGCTTAGGTATTGGCCAATACCGATACTGATACGATACCAGTGACGTTTTTTTCCCTCATTTAAATAAATGTAGAATTTATATATCTCTGTGTGTGGAACTGATAATCATTCTTTCACAATCTACTAGATACAGACTACTTCATTAT